GGGAAAAAAAACAACAATACTACACTTCAGATTCTAATTGTTGCCGTTTCATACACAAACAAAAATAAAGAGTGCAGTATGAAACTATCTGTATGGAGTGGATCGCCTAAGGGGCAGATTGGCCTGCAGAGGGCACTGTGGGCTGTTGGAGTAGCCCAGTGGGTGCTCCCCTTGTGGGTAAACAAGCCCCACTCCTCACCCACTGTGGATGGGTGACCAGTGCGCTCGGCTCGGCTCTCCTGGGGGGTTAGCGCTGGCTGTAGCGCCCTTCGGGGGTTGCTGTCGTGGCTTCGCTGGCCTCGTTTGCCGGGCTCTTCCCCACTCCCCCACGGCATGGGTATGGGAGACGAGCGCTGCCCGGCTCCGTCGGGCCGCCCCCCAGCTGGGCGTTGTGGGCAAGACCGGCGCTGAAGAGGCCAACACAATTGTCACCATCCGCCCCCCCCCCCTCCGACACCTCGCACCGACCCGGCAGGTACGGCCCCGCCGGATGCCACGGACCGAGGAGAAGTTTTCTCGCAGGACGGGAAGAGAGTCATTAGCGTGGCTCACCAACGGAACAAAATGGCGCAGCGGCCCTGGGCGGCGGCGTCAGCGGAGCTCCTGGGCGGAGACCACTTCACCGGAGACATGCGGACATGTGAGGCGGAGACCAGACTGACGATAGAGGTGCAAAGGAACAAGTAAAGAGGTCTATTCCCTGCTGAAGAGAGAAGAAAGAAAACGCGACGTTTTCGGCCGTGGAGCCCGCTTCGGCCGAAACGTTGTGTTTTCTTTCTTCTCTCTTCAGCAGGGAATAGACCTCTTACTGTACCTGGTCCTTTGCAGCCTGCCCACCTGTACTAACGACAGAGGTGAGCAGGGGTCGGCTGTGGCGGTCGTGGAGGAGTGACGGGGGAGGAGCCGATGTCCGGCTCTTAACGTCTCATTCCTGTAAAGTGGGGGGGGTTGTACTGCACCTCTCTCCGTATCCGGAAAGAGAGCGAGAAGGGATCTTGCCGTTTGGGCTGTCTTCGGTTTCCGCTGTTTTCTAGCATTGCAGTCGAGGGTTTAACAAGCTCACCCCCCCCAAGCCAGCCGGGTGTGGGCAGGCTCTCTGAACGGTCATTCCGCAGCCCTGCTTGAGATTGAGGCCAGGCTGCAGCAGGGTGAAATGTAACCCCCCTGTCACCGCTGTGAGCCAGGGACGGCTGAGGTCCCGTCGTTGGTTGTTAACGTCTCTTTATGACGCCGAATCCAGTCACGACGAACTGATATCATTCCAGTGAAGGTGTTGATTGAGGGAGCGAGGAGTGGGATTGTAGTGGGGGGAAGAGATTAGCGATGTGGGCAAAACACGGAATAGGAGAGACCTCTAGTGGTCGAAACTGGGAGGGAAAAAGACTTCAGTCAGACTGAATCTACAGTATATGTAAATATTTTATGATATGTCTTTGTTGTGAATGTCTGTAATATGTCTGTCGATTTTATTTTACTTTTATCTTTTGTTTTGTTTCATGTGAAACCATTTCATTGTTTTTATTTGCTTTGGCAGCACTGGTTGTACCCATCGGTCATGCTAATAAAGCACCTTGAATGGAATGGAATTGAATTGAGTCATGTAGGCGAGGAGAAACCAGAATCCGCGGTGCTTACAGTGCTCTGTCTTCAACGGCGTGGACAAGTCTGTTTCGATGGCTTTTTTTAAGGGTTGTGTATAGAAACCAGGAGGCTGGTTTTATGGGTCACCCTCACAGTGTTCACTTCTACACGCTTGAGACAATTTTATGTCGCCCCCCTTGCGGGCGATCGGTTCAAAGGAGGATTTTCGCAGCCCGTATCTCCCTGAGACCGCTGCGGGTGTGTCGTGTTTCAGGACTTGACAGATTGGGGATCTGAGGGGAACCCGTGAACTCTGCTGGAGCAGGGGTGGTCACCGTTTAACTCGCAGGATCTCGCAGTGCATGTGACACTCATCTGAAGGGGGTTAAACCTGCTGGTTTCTGTTCCAGCCGAGCTCCGGCACACAGCTGGACCCTTGACTGACTGATTTAACCACAGGGCTGTGTGACTCTTGCCGGGTCGCCTTTTAGATACTGCATCTCCAGAGCAAAACACAAGCTCAGACGTTTGAGTTGGGGGGAAAAAAAGCCAGGGAACCTCTGGCTTAATTAGCAAGAAAACGAACCCCGGTAATGGGCGGACCGATGATTTAATGGTGATAGCAGTCCGTCAGTGCTTAGCCCTGATGATAGCCTCGTTTAGTAACAAGCATTATTGGCCGGCCATTCCCCCCCCTTCGACGTCACTGCGTGACTGGGCGGTCCTGCCAACCGCCCCGCCCCCACCTCCGCGGCGTCAAGGGATAGGGGGCGGGGCTAGGGCGGTCCCGGGGGGCGGGGTTTCGCCACGCAGAGCCTTGCGGATGTTGCGGCTCCGCCAGAGCCCCGCGCCTGCAACATCTGGAGTCGATCGGGAACCCCACCAGGCGCGGCATCACGAGACCGGAACGAGCGCTTCCAGTGAGCACGCTGGGGGCTGGGAGGGAATTCCAGTCCGTCCCATCTGAGCGCGTGCTCGGATATCCAAAACCTTCCTGGAGCTTAAAGCACAAACACACGAGGTGCAGCAGCAAGGCGGGCTGGAAAGGATTATGAATGCATTGATTAAACTGCAACTAGGCTTTGTTACTGTTGTTCAACAAGGGAGCAAAAGACAATAAACTTATCTAAGGGTGGATCACTGTTTGTGCCTGTACTGTACATAGACATGAACAGGTCTCGCAGTGCACAGCGGTGTGATGGTTAAACAGCTGTTGAGTCCCGGTCCCACACTTGAATGGAGCACACTCAGTGTGGAGTTTGCGTGTTCTTCTCTTCTCTGTTCACAGGCGGTTCTTCTCCGTTTTCTCTGGCTGGTTCAGTTGACTCCCGCCTTTCCAAAGATGTGCCTGCATGGCGAATTCGTGTCTCTAAATCCTACCTGTGGGCTTGTAGGTGCATGTGTGCCCTGCACTGGACAGGCATTCTGCTCAGGGGCTGGCTCAGTCTTGTGCCCTGTGCTTCTGGAATGGGACCCGGGTAACTGTGGCTCTTAATGTGAATAAACAGCTCTCTGGTGGTGGGTGGGTGGGTGTACAACATGATCTTATATTTTCGGAATTAAACCAAACCAGTGTCAGCATAAGCATGCCCGTGTAGTGAAAAATACTTAACTTCAAAAATCGTTTTTACCTTTCCCCCTCCTTGCATCCCTTTCGTTCACATCTGGCCTGTGTGAATGCTGCAGACCTGTCCCAGGACAGCTTCTCCTCTGTTGCTGGATGGGGTTTCAGCACAAATCTGGGCCAGCTGCAGGACTTGATTAAGCGCAGATGGATCCTACAAACTCCTGAGACGCCTCAGCCCCTGCTCTTTGGTCCTTCCCTGGGTGTTTTTTTTAACTCTGGAGAGTCTCCAGTGAGCGCTCCTCAGCTGTGTTTGTAGCAGTGGCCCCTGACAAACAGCATGGAAAATACATGAACAAACGTGCAGTTTAAAAACACAGTGGTGGTGCTGGCGGGGGGGAGAACAGACTCAGTGTTTAAAAAGCTCTTACTTCTTG